TATTAAAGTTTTTCTTCATTACCCATTTAAGCCGTCTCCAGCCATTATTAATCTCAAAGTTGGTTCCTCGTCATCGAATAATAATTAGTATGTTGTTATTTATAGAAAATTTACAAGGATAGCGATATAAATAAGTCATATAATATCTATTTATTACCAAAATAGATAAAATCACAATTATATATTTTTTTAATATTCAAGATTCAGAAAAGATAGAGAGAAATAATACCTCGTACATTAAACACTCATGTTCATCTTTTAACACAAAGGTGTCAAGTCGATTTTCTTCATAATTTTAGACGCATAATTTGTGACTTAACTGTTCTTTCAGTGCTTCTCTGGGATTACTATTTAGAGCAAAATAGAATAAAATCTATAATATATATAGCATTGATTTCTACGTCACCTATGAGACGAGGGTTCGGCTCTTTAGTCTGTTCAGAGTTGTGCGATCGTTATGTAACCAAAACCTCTATGTAACACTGGGAAATAGTTTTCGTTTCTATGTTCCTTGTTGCACGAACTCCTATCAGTGGAAAAGTAATCGATAAAATCAATAGTATAGAGCAAATGATTCTTGTTACTGAACAAACTGTTACTAACCGGGACTTCTCAGATGTTTCATCGTTAACGACTGATTGTGAGTGTTTGCGGGCAGTAAAGAAATGTTTACACCAGAAGCGTGATGTCATTCTTCAATTTATTTCGCTCACTGCAAATAAAAGCACTAAATTCTTTTTAACATGGAAAAACACTTTTCTTCCACTGTTTCTTGTTTTGATTATCTTTCGTTCGCTACTACTGCTATTAAAGCAAAAATAATTTAACATATGGAATGCAATACTATGCAATACATTAATTGTTCATAGGCAATTAAACTCAGCACAATAAAACAATAATGAATTTAATATAAACCAAAAACAGCACAATATAAATGAAATTCAAAAACACGCCTCCGCTACCATTCCTTACTGTCGTCCATATGTCATAAAATGATGTTAAGGTGTTGATTTAATCGCCCTTTTCTCCTTTTTCCTACCTAAGAATTTTCCTCTTTATGATTTTTCTACTACATTGGTGTACTGGTTCTTAGCTATGTGCCAGTTATTTAAATATGCTACTTCTGTTTATATTTTTGGTTTATATTATCCTTTATAACTTAAGAACGACAGTAAGAAATGGTAGCGGAGGCGTGTTTTTGAATTTCAATTATATTGTGCTGTTTTTGGTTTATATATATATATGAATCCGGGTTTCGATTAGCCAAGGTGGACAAATAGAGCAACGTGTGACTTTTGCGCTAAAATAAGACAAATAAATAAAGTGGAACTGCCATATAAAATGAACTTCTCGTTGCATGTGGTCTCATATATAACTTCAAAGTGTTTTTATGGAAATGTTCAATAAAAATTTCTTAGTATAAAATATGTATGCTATCAATCTGCTGTTGTGCACGTAAAATAGGTGCAAATGATAAAATGCTTACTAATTTGTGAAACAACTTAATAAACACAGAAATATTTTAATACATAATTTTTCGATGTTAGCAGCGCCACCAGCAAGTAATTCTTCAACTAAATATGAGTAATTACAAATGAGACATAGAAATCGTAGATTGCATTTTTCAGGTCGCACTCATTCATGGAATCTTCATAAATATAACATAGATTCGAACGAAAAACAATATTATCCAATATTTACTGTAATTAATATTAACTTCTGATCAAAGAAAGCTACCTACACAGATCAGAACTAAAACTTAACCAAGTGATGAATACAGTTCATTTAACATGTTTTTCTTGCGCTCTTATTCGGAATGCTTAGAATGCGTTGTTTCTTCTGTTTGGTGCCCTCGTCATTACCTATATTTTCGGGCATAATCCCAGTAATATTTCACGAGATTCATCTGTAATAGTTTGAGTTATTCAGTTGATAAAGAACTCGTCTGGCCTGCGAGAAGTCACGGACTCAAATCCGAGCCGAAGAAAATACATATATATCTTAAAAACATAACAAACAAAAAAAACACATGATCGGGTAAGGAGATTTAAGTTAGTCTTCAGTTTCTACTCTTTGCTAAAAGTGTAAAATAACTCTTATAAGAAAAACACATGACCAGCTAAGGAGATTTAAGTTAGTCCTCAGTTTCTAGTCTTTGCTAAAAGTGCAAAATAACCATTATAAGAAAAACACATGATAATGAAAAAATGTGTATTAAACATTCTATCAATACTGTTAACAAAAGTCAAGTTCACGAAAGAATAGCGTAAAGCGAGTTGATTCCTTCATGCATAATTACCGATTTCCCGTCTCCTGAAAAACCTGACAAAACTTAATCCTCTTAACAAGGTCTTGTAACCAATGAAAGCCCATTAAACAGTTCCGACAGTGTAACTTTAGATTAGCTTGACGTGTGAAATAAATTACTACGACACATATTACTGTTTAACTATAGGGTCGTTTAGCAAAACGGTACCTAGACTAGAGAAAGCTAATGTCTTTGAAGATAAAAAAAACTAATAACACATTAAATGAATAACGAAATCGTACTATAAGTAATAAAACTATTGATATTCTATTTTAAAATAATCAAGCTAAATGTAACAAGAAAAATAATTTACTAAACATAATATAAGGCTGTTTTTTTAATACACACATACATCGGGCAGCCGGAAGAGCTAAAGTTAATCCCTAAGAATTAGCCGAAATTCGTGAGTGATAATAAGGTACGAGAGATAACAAATAAGTAACAACAACGGTAAATGTAACAATTAAAGTAATTAAGAAAACTAATGTAGTGAAACTAATAACGTAGATAATGTTACACTATATTTGATAAGCTACAGTTTTTACAGTAAGTAACATTTGTGTTTAAAAAAGGTACGACGTTTCGATCACTGGTGCGATCATTCTAAAGTACATAAGTTTTAACGGTAAAGAAAATTTTAGTACTTAAATCAACATTCAACAATCTAACAATGTTTGAAGACGGCTTGAATGGATAATGAAGAAGAACTTTAATATAAGTTTAACATAATAGCAAATGTACAACGTTTCCACCAGCCATTGTTGAAAAACTCTCCAACATTCACCACAACAAAACTCAACTCACGAACAAAATTGATACTAACAAACCCTACAACAGAACATTACACTGCAGTTTACCTTTTGTCCCTGAAACCAGCTCCAGAATAATCCATACTTGGACAAAACTAACCATTATATACAAAATTCCTGTCAATGTTAAATTCTCTCAAAAACCTGACCCTAAATTAAAATCGTTACTAAACAAAAATTATTTAGAATCACACAATACCAACGTCATTTACAAAATAATATGCAATAACTGCCCAGAATTCTACATCGGAAAAACAGGAAGAAAATTGGAAACCAGATTCACAGAACACAATAAAAAACCTTCTCATGTTTTTCCACCATTGCAACTCCAAAAACCATAGTATATCTATTAAAAACACGGTAATTTTAAACAAAGAACCAAACATAAACAAAC